TGATTTTATAATTGTATGTGTTAGGTTTGTCAGTTTAAATGTAACGTCTTACGGTTGTTGATGTCAGTGAATGAATTTCAACGCCAACTCACTGTCCATTTGAGAATATTTTTTCTCATTATATCGAGTTGAATGACACTGATAGATTTAGAATTTTCATAAAAGAATTAATTAATTAAGAATAATAAATAATACCTTTTTTTGCCGTTGTTGTTTGTAAAATATTTGGCATACGTGTTGCCTGTGTGTTGTTTCGAATGTAGACGCATTAAGATTAGCTCATTCAATTAAATTGGATTTATATCTATTCAATTAATTACATTATGCTATAATTTCTAATTGAATGAATTGAGTTTAACTTCTTAAATTAATTTGTTGCTTAGTGCTTCATTATAATTGTCATCATCAGCCATGGTTACCAACAACGCAATTCACCCATTACAATCACTATGATGATGCATTAAATATTGTTATCATCATCATCATCATCATCCTTATTTTCATCCTCATCATCATTATCATCACCATCATCACCATCGCCATCACTTTCACCACCATCATCATCATCAACATCATCACCATCATCATCATCATCATCACCACCACCACCACCATCATCATCATCATCATTATACATTGCCATTATTATCTTCATTATTATTATTATTATTATTTTATTATTATAATTATTATCATCATTATTATTATTATTTCGTCTTCATCCTTTGCAGCATCGCGCATGACATGGAATGATGATTGATTCAATGGCAGCGTTTCCACCACATCCCAAATTAAGAACAACTCGTCTCAACTCTTATTCTTTCATTGTTTAAAATTTTTTTCTTACTATTACAATTATTTACATTATAATAACAATGTGTCTGTTTTTATTCATTTATCTCTGTAAATACATCTAAAAAGAATTAAATATTTAAAAAATTATATATATGTGTGTGTGTATGCGTGTGTGTGCATGTGTGTGTGCGTGTACCACGTAAATCAAGCGTAGAAAATGAATCATTAACCGGCTTTATTTATTTGAAAAAAAATTGTATGGGTAAGCAAGGAAAAAGGGAGATATACGAATAAATAACATCACTGCAGGTGACGAATCCAATCCTACCAAGATTCTTCAAATGCAGGTACAATTGTGTTTTTGATTTATTTAATTCTTTTTATTTTCTTAAAAAAAACATTTACATTTTGTTGAGTTTGTTTCATTCATTAATATATACTTTGACATAGCATTAAATTGAAAAAATATATGGGATACAGGATGACAATTTAATTTAGTTTTTGAAACCTAAGACTTTAAAAAATTGAAACAAATGAAATAATTGACACAGACTTCTTTAGCAATTTTATTTCTGATCATAAATAAAAACATATCAACATATCAACAATACCTCAATCATCTTTTGATAGTCATCATCATCATTTTTACAATTGCCATCATCACTGTTTCTTTTCAATTATTACCAGCGATTTAATAGCCATCATCATTACCGATTGCATCATCTTTATCATCCTCATCATCATCATCTTCAGTCTAATAAATAATCAACGAAATATTAGGACCTGTCGACATACATACCAACATGCACACAAACAAACTGCTTATCCACCCACTCTCAAATCTTTCCCTCCCTCTCTCTCTCTCTCTCTCTCTTTCTCTCTCTCTCTCTCTTACTTTTTCATTTTCATTCTTCCCTTTCATTTTTTCGCCACTTTCTTTCACTTTTTTGTCACTTTCTATGTTTCATTTTCCTCTACCATATTCCTTCTTCGCATTTGGTTTTAAATGTTTCCTTTCCCATTTCACATTGTTCTTTTCGTTGAATTGTGTTTTTGTGGCTTTTAGTCGTCTTTAACAGTTTTTTTTTCATTATTTATTTAAGTATTTATTTTACCAGCAAATCATTTTTTCACCCTAACTCACGTTCAGTAGGTTACTATACATGTCGAAACATCAAAGAAACATAGTTACAAAATTAATCTCCTGAGGTCCTTTTTCAAAAACATTAGCTTGTTTGAAAATATGAAAATAAAAATATGAAAATATGAAAATAAAAATATGAAAATATGAAAATAAAAATATGAAAATATGAAAATAAAAATATGAAAATATGAAAATAAAAATATGAAAATATGAAAATAAAAATATGAAAATATGAAAATAAAAATATGAAAATATGAAAATAAAAATATGAAAATATGAAAATAAAAATATGAAAATATGAAAATAAAAATATGAAAATATGAAAATAAAAATATGAAAATATGAAAATAAAAATATGAAAATATGAAAATAAAAATATGAAAATATGAAAATAAAAATATGAAAATATGAAAATAAAAATATGAAAATATGAAAATAAAAATATGAAAATATGAAAATAAAAATATGAAAATATGAAAATAAAAATAAATCCTCAAGAGTTGAGAAACTAGTTACTGCAGATGCATGAACAAAAGCCACATTTTCTATATATTCCATTTAAAGACAGAACTTGTTTCTGTTACTCACATACTTAAATATTCTTAAATAATTAAATAAATATGTTACTTATAAGCAAGATATTGAGATTAGAAGATAGCGAATAAAATGTTCCGCATATTTCGCATCCGACACACGATATGCATCTGAATCATAATAATGATGCATCAATATTAAAATTAATTATACCATTTGATAACAGTATTAATGACATTTTCTTGTTATTACATGTTATCTGCAAACATTTAGAATAAGCTCAGGCGTATTTTGTTAAAAAATGTTATGTTTAATGGGGTATGATACTAGTCAGTCTTGGCGATCAGTCAGCAAAAAACTGTTTGCTTGGTTAAAAATTCAATTAAAGAAAATTTTTGTAATTGTATAATGTATATATACTGGTTGATTAGAAAAAACTGAAAACTATAGCGCTTTTGCGGGTTCAAATGCCGGCAGATGATGTAAAATAGAAAAAAATATTTGCTACATCAACTCTTCAACTTCAAGTGTATGTTACACTATTTCACATTGTACACACCAACATACACACACACACACAGACACACACACAAACACACAGACACGCACACATACACACAGAGGATCGTGTTGAGTGGATAAGCAGCTTTGGCAGCGTGAATGTCCTAATTGTGACCACGTACGTATGTATCTGTGGAACCTCTCATGTGTGTTAGTGTGCATTTGTCAGTGATACATAATTGAAGAGGGAGAAAGTGTATGACGTAACATATTACCTGCACGTTAACTTGTACGTAGGTACATGTCGGTGTATGACAAAATGTGTGTGTGTTCATGTGTTTGTGTGTGTGTGTTCATGTGCATTCGCGTGTGTATGTGTGTGGTGTGTGTGCGTGAGCGTGAGCGTGAGAGAGTGTGCGTGTATCAAATTGTCGATATTGTGTGTATGTGTGTTTCAGTTGAGGTATGTTCCATTGAATTAGCTTCACCCGTTTGGCGGCAAATTTTTATGTGAGAGTGTTTTCAATGTTTACGATTTCGTTTTTTTATATAAAGGTTGTTATCATTCATTATTGAACATCGCAAAATGGACAAGTTAGCTCTGGCGATAAAAGTACCATATCTCGTTAGTTTGCGCTTACCAGCTTCAAAAGCTGTTTGCTCGAGTCTCAAAGGCTATCATTGCATCATATCTGTGGCGTGTGCGATACGAATGTAACTTCAATTGTGTATGCATGCTTTGTTGTGCAAGTGTGCAGTGGGTGCTTCGGTCTTCTTAGCAAGAAAGTTTTTTGTTTTTTTTTGTTACTGAGATAGAACAACATTTAAAAGAAATGCAGTTGCGTGATCAAAACTTTTTTCAAAATGGAAAGTTATTTTAACGAAGTTTATGCTGAGTTAGGTTAGGTTATTGCTGTTATATTTAATGTTCTTTGTTAGCATCTTCCAACTTTGTTTTGTTTTGATAGCATTGAAATTAGAAATGGTTGTTGTTTGTCTTGTCGAATGCCACCAAATAATGTTAGCAATGTAAAGTTTGCGGGATTTCATGAACTGTTTTGGAATTTTGTGCAATCTTCGTTTCGGCTGCACGGTGATCTATGACTTGTGGGTATTAGTTTTTTGATTGTACGCATGCAGTTTCGTATGTACGTGTACATGTTTGCTTGTTTGTATAAATGCTTAGTTATACAAATGTTTGTATATGGATGTATAATGTTGCGTATGATTGTAAAAAAAGTATATGCTTGAGCTGACTATGTATTTGTATGCATATTGTGTACATGTGTGTTTGTGTGAGTATATAATCTTGTATTTATGTGTTGCGATTTTTGCGTCGTTGTGGGCATGTAAGCATTTATATATTTCATGCGTGTGCGAGAACTTGGTATTTATGTGAATATTTCTGCAATTGTTATTTGTGTTTGTTTGTGCGAGTGCAGATTTACCGTGTATGCGTGCGTATGTGCGCGTTTTTGAGTGTCCACTGTTTTGCTCTTTGGCGTAAAAATTCTGAGTTTAAGCTAGCACAAGATAAACATTTAAGCCTGTGAAATATATTACGACAAGTAAAAAAGATAAAAATTGAAGTTGAACTTCTTTTTATTTTTCATCAGCTTTATTGCAAGGTTAATGGCGTTTTGAAATCTTCATTGTGACTGGCAAGGTTTTTAAAACAAGTTAATTAAGTAGTTACGTGATGAATAAATTATTGCCAAACAAAAGAGGATGGCGCAATAAAGCTGGATTTATGGGTGGATGGATGGATAGATGGATAAATTGTTGAATTGATAAATGGATAAATCGGAAAATGAATGGATGAAGGAATGAAAAATTGGATGAATAGATGGATGGATAGATAAATTTTCAATTTTTGTTTGTGTTTTCGCTAATTGGGAAAATTAAAAGATTTAACTTTTTAATGTTTTTTACGATATTTTTTAAAATTTGCAACAATTTAAAAACTTGGCTTAATAAAAACTTTAAAAGCATTGAAACTTGTGTTCATGTATGTGTATGTTAATGCGTGTATGTTCATGTGTGTATGTGTACTTGTGTGTGTTTACGGTGTGTGTGTGTGTGTGTGTGTGTGTGTGTATGGTGTGTGTGTATATAAGAACTAAAATCTAGTAAAACATTTCGCGAATGTAGTTTGCACGGCGTTCATTTTTGCCTTTTTTCATAATGCATTTGTGCTCATCTCACATGGAATTGCGTTGTTTATGTTTGTGTGTGTGTGTGTGTGTGTGTGTGTGTGTGTGTGTGTGTGTGTGGTGCTGTTGTGTGTCTGTTCATGATCTTTTATTTATTTTTGATATTTCATTATATCTGTGTAATGTTGTAATATACATGAAAGATATTTTTATTTTCGTTCATTCACTTTTTTAAGTTCTTCACGTATGATGTTTCAAAGTTTTGTTTGTCTATTGGATTCTCAGGAGCTGTTATCAACAGTTATAAGTAGTTTTAAATGTTGTAAGACTCGATATAGCATTTGATCTCACAGCAAACAACAATGATAGCAGAAGAAACAAAAACAGGAATAATAATAATAATAGATGAAATAAAATAATATGGCGTTAATGAAATTATAAAATTAAAAAAAGTGTATGTAGACCCCACAGCTCATTGCGTTGGCAAGTGTAGTGCGTTAAAATATATTTAAAAGTTAGTATCATGGCATGTCTCTATTGCAATAAATATTGAACGAGGATCTTATTACTTCACTTATTAATTTGTCATTGAAAGAAATCGACCATAAAACTTTAAATAGAGAAAGATTAAAATTATTATAAAAACCAGTAGGTGTTATTTCAAACGAATTTATAGTTATCGAGCAATGTTTGTAGTTGTCATTTAAACATGATTGCAATTTAGTTGAATATTTATCTCTTTTATACTGTCTGGAGGATTCGATGTTGGTTTCGTGACAGACTGTTAATTCTAAAATTTCTATTTTGTTGTTACAGAGAAGGGCAATGTCGGGACGAAGGGTGTTGAACAGTTGTGTTATTGGGCGAATATCATCTAAATCTAGGTCGGCAAATATGATACAGTTGGCTGGAGCACAGATTTTTAACTAGGTGATGTTGTTGTGTCTTTCGGTGCATCTTCCTAGAGCAGACTTGGAACCGCAGTTGGAGAGCACATGTTTATTTGTCTGGTGAAGACCACACAATTGGCATAGAGGGTTTCGTGTTTTGCCCTATTTGAACAAATTCGCACTTGTTGGCAACTGCTGGACAAGATACTTTCTGGCAAATTTGTAGTGGACCTCGCTGAGATTTTCTAATGTCTTTTACCAACATGATATGCGAGAAGATTGAACAAAATTCTTTATTTTTGAAATCAATGAACATTGGCAATGAAAGTAGATGATTTAAGTTAGATTCATAATAATAATATAATTAATAATAATAATTAATAATAATAATAATATCAATAAAAGTATCATAACAATAACAATAATTACAACACTAATACTACCGTTTCTACTACAACTTCTACCAACAATAAATAAAAAATATCAATGACATTATTAACGTAATTAGTGACATCAACGTCATGTTATTAATGTTACATCGTAACGTTACATTACACTAGAACTCAGAATTTTACCGTCATCAGATAACAACATGAATAAAAATAAAATACTGGATATCATTAGCATCCACAATCACAGTAAAATGGAAGACAAACTATTTTTCCTCTGTAACATTTTGGATAAAATTTTACAAAAAGAAACATGGCAGTCTGTGGCTAATGAGTTATTCAGGTCTTATCACAGAAAACCTGTGAACAATTTTTATTCAACAGTGCCGTACAGCGTGAACTGGTGTTTATTTTATGCACATGTTCGTTTGCGCTTACTGAACACCCACACACATACACACGCATACATACATAAACATACATACATAAATACATACATACACGCACACTCACACATATACATAAATACATACATACATACACGCACACATTCACACACACACACAAATCAGCTGGTAAGTAGTTGCAGATTATTTTTTGTGAACATTTAAAAGATTTTAGGAAACTTGAATACTTATAATAGACTGTTTCTTTATGAACAAGCCAATCAGCGAATTCAAATGCCTGAGAATTTGTTTGATTATTAACCAACATACCGTTGTTTATTTCAATGGTTGTTCAATTCTGTTTGATTCACTTGTTTTTTATGGAAACAAATGTGTCCAATGAATTCATTTTCATTGAGGTCCGTGTTCATGTTGGATTCCATCTTCATTAATGTTCATTGAGTTCATGTTCATTGAGGTTCAAGAGTGCATGCTTATTTGAATATTTATTTCAGGGCTTCGAACCGGAACAGGACCGAAACCGAAAACCGGAAAAAACCGATGTTTTAGCCGAACGAAACTCGGAACTGAACCGAAATATTTTTTGCTTGCCGAACCGAAACCGAAAACCGGAACGAAAAAAATAACGTTCCGGTTCGAAGCCGTTAATATATTTTTTATAACGAGCACTTCTATAAATAATTTTTCAAAAGTCTTTGTTATTTTTCAATGTTTGTATAATATCTTTGATCATTTGTAATCTTCTATTTATTTAATTAACAATGATATGTCAATAACCAGAATATCCGATACACGCGATACAGGCAACATTTACAAAAACGCAATTAAATACAATTAATTAAATATATTTGCCCGCAAATTTATTAGCGCGCTCCACCATGTAATGTCAAAGAAATTCATTTTTCATTTCATGTCTGGAAGATAATTAATTTTTTTTCGCTAAGTTTCGTGATTATTGCATTCAGAATTATTTGTTACGGAATTTTTAATTTAAAATGTTTTATTAAAATTGAAAATTAATTTGGCTTCTTATCAATAATTTTACATCATTTTATAACTGTTCTTTATTTTGCTTTACAAATTTGCGCCAGTAGGATTGTGATGACCATTTACAAAATTTAATAACTTTGATGGGCAAAACGTTTCCCGGAACTGAACCGATAACCGGAACCGAACCGAACCGAAATTTTATCTGGAACGAAAACCGGAACTGAACCGAAATATATTTTGTTAGTCGAACCGAAACCGAAAACCGGAACGAAAAAAATTACGGTTCGAAGCCCTGATTTATTTATTGGGCAGATGTGCATTTGGACGGTTACCGAGTTAGCTCAGTCGGCAGAAGTGTCATGCCTCGCACTGCTATTACGCTTTGGTAGGGTTAGAATACTGACCGTTCTAAACTCAAAAACCATCACATTCGTATAAAGGAGTATGTGCGTTGGATGGCGTGGATAGCGTGGATACTGTACTTGGCAGAACTGCATGATTGATAAAGAATAAAAAATTCATTGTGGCAAAAGTTCATTTTAAAGTTTATTCATTTGGACAGATCCGTGTTCATTATGATGCATGTTCATTGGTTTTTATGTTCATTGGATTTGTGTTCTTAAGGGTTCATGTTCATTAATGCATTTTCATTGCGGTGCATGTTCATCAGAGTGCTGGCATCACGTGCGTCTGTTTGTCATACACGCCATCCATCTTCATACTTTCTCCAACTGCTTTCATATTTATTATTACAGTTCGAATTTAATGTTGGTGTTTGTAATGTCTATAACTTTAGCTAATTTTATTATTTGTTTGTTTGATTTTGTTGTTTATATGCACATTTGGTAGGGCACGTGCGGGTTGTTACTGTTCTTATAAATGTTAATTATAATAACTTGTTCTTCTATTTGAGATTTCATTTTGGTTTCATAATGATGCTTTTATTTGTTTTTGTTTTCACCGTTGTGACTTTTATTTACACATGCTGCGTTGTTCTTGTATGTATATAGCCTATGCATTGTGTATCATTTATTTTTAAAATCATTCAACTCGTACAATCAGCACATGCTTAATTGATTGACATTTCAATTATTTTCTTCAGAAAAAACAACAAAACATTTTCTCTAAACATTATTGCGAACACATCATTGTGGTCCGGGTCTGTATATGTGTATGTATGTATGTATGTATGTATGTATGTATGTATGTATGTATGTATGTATGTATGTATGCATGTATGTATGTATGTATGTATGTATGTATGTATGTATGTATGTATGTATGTATGTATGTATGTATGTATGTATGTATGTATGTATGTATGTATGTATGTATGTGTGTATGTATGTATGTATGTATGTATGTATGTATCTATGTATGCATGTATGTATGTACGTAAAAGCACTTACTTCTACGTGCATGTGTTGAAGATTGAAATGGTTGGACTGGCTGGCATTAATCTGTTTGCTTCGTTGGGTAACGAACCTTGCGTCAGATCTTTTTGTGATTTGTAAACTTTTCAATCTGCCCTTCAAGATGACTCCATTTTGAAATGTTTTCGTATCTCTCGGGCCAGTTTCGTGTTTGTTGATTGAGGATTAAAATATTATTGAAAATTAAAATTGATCAATTTATGTATTTGACAAGTTTCTGGTCAGTTGGTACGTGCATTCTGAATTTATGAAAGAATTATTTATTGAAAACATTTATATTGTATGAATTCGAAAAAAAATTTATTTCAAATTAGGAGTTTAGACTAGATTAATTCAAATAACTTTTGCAAAAAATGAATCGGATTTTAATAATCTGGATGCTAATTCTGATGAAAGGTGAGTAAAATCGTTTTATTTGCTCAAATTTATTCATTTTTTTATTAATTTACAAACATTTCTTAACTAAAAATTGTAAAAAATATCTCTACATTTAAAGGATTTTAATCTTTTATGAAATAAGTTAGCGCACTGCTTAAGAGTGTTAAATTTTCATAGAAGCATTTCACAACGGGACAGCCTGAGTTTGGTTCGTTAGGGGGGTGCCTCTAGTCGATGATACATCATTTTGTCTCTCTTTACCATGAACATACGTTCTTTATTTGCTACTTTTTTGTTAACTATTTGTTGTCGGCCATTGTTATAAAATATCTCCGCAGAAATTTCTTGTTGTAGTTTTTCTAATTTTATTAGTTTTATTTCTGAATTATATATTTCAATTTTTTACGTTTAATTATATTTTTTACAGATTTTTTAGAGCTAAACTTTCTGTTGATGATTGATGTTTCTGTCGGTTTCTATGTTTCTGTCCAACGATGACCCGATGTTTAAATTTTATGGATATATTTTTAAAATTTTTGATTTTTAAAAATTATTTTTCAAAACTTCGTTTCTCCTTTTCCTGAAAACTTCCGATCCAATCTCTATACATCGTTGCTGCTTTAAAATAAGTAATTACAATGAAAGGTTTTTTTCATTTTTAAAATGGAAAAAATTTCACTGAGAAAATATGGATGAGATAAAAGGTGAAAAGTGATTTCAGAATACCTACGTTGAAGATTGCAGCAAGAATGTTTACAAGGAAGATGCTAACAACCGCTGACCGTGGTTACACGGATGAAATGATAATCTTAGGATGATGAAAATGACGATGATGGTGATTGTGATGATGATAATGATGTAGTTTATGATGATGATTGTAGGGATGATGATGATTATAATGATGATGATTATGTTGATGATGATGATAATGGGTAACTGATTATGGCGACAATTTGAAGGAGAATGATGATGATGATCGTGATAAAGTAAAAGGATTACGATGCCAATGATGATGATGATGATGATGATGACGATGATGATGATGATTTTGGGAATAGGTCTTTTGTTTATGATTATAGCTGCATGGATTAAACGATTAAAACGGCAAAAATTGGGATAATGAAAAAATTATGATGACGATGAAAGTAATGATGATGATGAGTCTGATAATGATAATGATGAGGCTGATTATGAGGATGTTAATGATGATGAAAATGGTGATAATGATGTTGATATTGTTTGTGTTGTATCTGTTCCAGTTGTTGTTGATATTATATTAATATGATGATGAAGATGCAGAAGACTAAGTTGTTGATGATGATTGTAATGGTGAAGAAGAAGATGATGATGATGACAATGATGATGTCACAGAAAGTGAATTTGTGACACTTTTGACGTTGACAGATATGGTCGATTGATTCTTGAGAAAATTTAAAATGTCGAACATTTCAACACAATTTTTTTAAATAAACATTTTCTTGTACATATGTATACTTCACTATAAAATTTTGAAAAGTGAAAACCATTATTTATCTTAATTATTAATTAATGAACGCATGCAAGTTGAATGATTAATTGTTTGTCGTAATTAAATGACTTTCAGATTAATACGTTCACGTTGTGTTAACTGTTAATAATTAGTGAACATGTATAATTCATCAATTTTCATTTTAATCGCAAATAAAAATCATCAATTTTTCTCTTCTACATTATTCTTGATGTTTTTCGCACAACATTTCTTGAATGACGGAAATAAAATTTTTTATCGGCTTTCTAATCAGAATGAAATTTTTTTATTGCAAAATGGGTTACTACACACAGTACACACTCTAAATAGCACGCCTGTGCGCGCGCACGCGTTGAAAATTTTTGCCACATATGCATAAATTGTTTGCGCACGAAAAAAAATATTTTTTTCTGATTTTCCATAGAACTGTACTACATTAGCTTGTTTGATTTCAATAAAGAATGCAATTTCTTTCCTTCGAATCCATTTTATAGTCCTGCTTGTCTACTCCACTCATGTCATTAGTTCCAAGTGATTACAATTGGGTTGTTGCAAGAGTTCAATCAAGTTTTCTGCTAGGATAAATCCCTCATCATTAGATTATACAACGATTTCTAATTCATTGTAAGAGAAATTGAAAAATAAATTTATAGACTATTTTAAATAAACGGTGTCATCGACACTGGTAAATGAACAGCTTGAGGAGCTATTGGAGTTGCAACATATTGGCGGAACATTTGCGGCATATTGTGTAAATTATGAACGTGGTTTTAAATCTATGGAACTTGTTAAAAATTAAACAGACAAATCGCTTTGCAGAATAGCATTTTCATTCTTTGGGAAAGTTGATTCATCTCAAAATGGAGAACATCAAACCAACTTGGATGAAACTTTTTTTGAAAGACGGAAGAAAAAAATTATAATTTATGTAAATATACTTCAAGTGTACGTGTAATTAGGAATATGTTTTTTTATGTTTTTTCTCTTATTACAAATATGAAATGCTCTATAAACACAAACACACACACGTATACTTTACACACACATTACACACCAAACACACACACACATACACACTCACAGCACACTCACACACAACACACACACACAGACACACTGAGTCATGTATGAACAAATCAATACGTATTTGTTCTGCATCATATGTTCATTTTGGTTCAGTCCAAACATATGGACTGGCTGTGTTTGTTGTTTATTCCATCTTATCCAATGTTATTCTATTGTTGTCAATGACGATAGCGTGTGTTGTTTACATTGATCGCGCTCAGTTATTTGCCTGTTAAGTTATTTTTTGGTTGTTTGCTCAGTTGTTTATGGTGCTGGGATGTTTACTGTATTGCACGGCAAGATACAATCACACAATCACACAATGCTCCTTATCTGATCAAACAATTTAAATTTGCATATCTCTTCTTCGTATGAAACGTTGCGTTGAAAATTAAATTGAATTTTCGTTAGTTGTCATTTCAAAGTGCCTCAGAGATTTTTTTCAACTTTTGACCAAAACTAAATTTTAAATTGTTAATAATATTGTACAATTTTTTGCGTACTATATAAAGGTAAATTGATCGTTCAATCAACCAATAAATTTATTAAAGTAAACCGATCGATCAATATATCAATCAATAACTTAATCAATTAATCAATTAATTAATCAATCTATCAATTAATCAATCTTTTAGATATTCTCAATAAATCAGATGCATTAAGATTTTTTTCAACAACGTTCACGAATATAAAATTTAATAGTTGACATATCAGCAATGTTTTAAAATGGTTTCCACAATAGAAATTATTTGAGAAAAGATGTGTAAATCCTTTTATTTGAATAAAACAAAATTTAAAAAAAATTTATTGATGATGTGAATGGCGAAGGTCAGCAGTGTTAAATGATTGCAGACATGGTCCAGCATGTTTCATTCGGTCAGAATGAAGTTAAACATTTTCGTCATTGCATTGCACATTCAAGAACTTTTTTTTGTAATTTGAATACAACAAATATCTACATTTTTTCAAATTGTAATAACAAAAGAAAACTATTTTATAACAAAGAACGAACAATTTTTTCATACAAAAACTCATCTAAAAATTTGTGCAAAAGTAAAAAAGGCAAAACAATGCGATAATCGCAAAAAGTTGTTGAAGATTATTGAAAATGTCATAAGGAGAAGCAGTTAGGTATTAGCAGGCTGAATGCATTATCACTGAGTTGAGAAAATATGAGATGCAACACATTCCGCCAGCACATTCCAAAAACATACCAGAAACATTCCAGAAACAATTTGACGTCGTTTATCGAAACCAACTTATATAATATTCATTATATAAAATATAATAAGTAAAAACACACACACACACACCACACACGAAAACACACACATCACATAAGCAAATACACATACACATGTATGCATATAACATTTATGTGTTCTTATGTATGTAAAATTAGATAAAAGTCTGTTCAAATACAGTTATAAGACACGCAATGAAATATAACAAAAGCACTGGTGTGCAACTAATAACGAAGCAAACGTATACAATGAAATTTGAAGTCTTATAATATTGATGTTATATACAGTTGAACGCAAAACTTATCTGCAAATCCAATCATAAAATAAAAAAAAACAGATAAACACGCAAACAAATAAAACAAACGAAGGAACAAACAAACAAACGAACAAACGAAGGAACAAACAAACGAAAGAACAAATAATCCAACAAACAAACAAAGGAACAAACATGCAAATGCACAAACCCAAGCGTATGTTTATATTATGAATAATATGTGACAGACAGAAGCTGCTTATTACTCGCAGGGCCGATTTATTTCGTCCCCATACCCCCGCATAGACCGCTCGTGGATGGCAGAGAAGAGAGATTTAATAAATATACTTGCCTGTGTGCAACTTGTCAATGCATCTATATTTTATTCCATGCTCCAACGTTTGTTTCATCTTGAGTTTGCTTTTCATTTTTTTTATTTTTGTTTTGATTGTATTTTTTTAGGAAATTTATATTCTTTTTGTTTAAACTGTTTCGTAAATTATTTTACGATTATATTGT